TTTTGGAAAGTGAGCATAACGCCAAGGGGTGGGTTATTCTGAACTTGTCTGAGGAAAGTAAAACAGCGCTCCAAATCACCGGCTATCCGGTTACTAGAGGGATTTCAAACAGGAAAGACTGCAGTTGCATGCGTGTGTGAGAACAGCCCACCCAAGCTCCTTAGGGAGAAAGCTTATGAATATAAGAGTGGCCTTTGTTTTCTGCAGGACATTCGAGGAAGTCACACACACCTACCAATAAATTGCACAACAATCTATAATCCAGTCTTCAGATTATGTTGGTTTACTGAATTCGGATCAAACTAGGTCATATTAAATTGTAACTAGGTGCCACTTTAGTTTATCAGAGTGTCTCTGCTTTCCATAAGAGCCATGAGTTTATGTTTTAAAATATATGCAGGCTGATATATTGATATATTTCCACTCCCCTGGTCTAAATCTAATGATGGTCCATTCTGACAATTAATTATATATATATATTGACACAGGGAAATAGTATTGAGCACGCTTACTGAAATTTATTTAAAACTTCTTACAAAAGCCTTTGTTGTTAATGACAGCTTCAAGACGCCTCCTGTCTGGAGAAACTAGTTGCATGCATTGCTCAGGTGTGATTTTGGCCCATTCTTCCACACAGTCTTCAAATCTTGAAGTCAGGTGATTGGCTGGGCCATTCTAGCAGCTTTCCTTTCTCTGAAACCAATTGAGAGTTTCTTTGGCTGTGTTTGGGATCATTGTCTCGCTGAAATGTCCACCCTTGTTTCATCTTCATCATCCTGGTAGATGGCAGCAGATTTCTATCGAGAATGTCTCGGTATATTTTTCCATTCATCCTTCCTTCAATTATATGAATTTTGCCAGTGCTACACCATGATGATTTGGGGTGATGTGCAGTGCTATTTGACCTCCAAACATGCTGTGTATTGTGGCATCCAAAGAGTACAATGTTTGTCTCATCTGACCAGACTATATTCTCCCAATATTTCGCAGGCTTGTCTAAATGTTGAGCAGCAAACTTTAAATGAGCTTCAACATGCTTTTTCTTCAGCAATAGAGCCTTGCGTGGTGAGCGTGTATACAGGACATGGCAGTTGAGTGCATTACTTATTATTTTCTTTGAAACAATTGTACATGCTAATTCCATGTCTTTCTGAAGCTCTCCACAAGTGATCCTTGGCTCTTGGACATTTGGGGTGATGTGCAGTGCTATTTGACCTCCAAACATGCTGTGTATTGTGGCATCCAAAGAGTACAATGTTTGTCTCATCTGACCAGACTATATTCTCCCAATATTTCGCAGGCTTGTCTAAATGTTGAGCAGCAAACTTTAAATGAGCTTCAACATGCTTTTTCTTCAGCAATAGAGCCTTGCGTGGTGAGCGTGTATACAGGACACGGCGGTTGGGTGCATTACTTATTATTTTCTTTGAAATCTTTCTGAAGCTCTCCACAAGTGATCCTTGGCTCTTATAGACAACTCTTCTGATAATTATTTTCACTCCTCTGTCAGAAATCTTGCGAGGAGCGCCTGGTCATGGTCGGTTTATGGTGAAATGATGGTCTTTCCACTTCCGGATTATGGCCCCAACAGTGCTCACTGGTACATTCAGAAGTACAGAAATCCTTCTGCAACCAATGCCAGCAGTATGTTTTGCAACAATAAGGTTGCGAAGGTCTTGAGAAAGCTCTTTGCTTTTACCCATCATGAAATGTTTCTTGTGTGACACATTGGTCATGAGACACCTTTTTATAGGCCATCAGTTGCGACTGAAGCAGCTAATATTAATTTCCACTGACGAGGGGCAGGATTGCTTTCTAATTACTGATAGATTTCACCTGGTGTCTTGGCTTTCCATGCCTTTTTGCACCACGCTTTCTTCATGTGTTCAATACTTTTTCCCTGTGTCATTCTACTTTATTACACAGAACTTAATTTCTGAACTTATTTGTTTTATTCTCTTTGTAGAATAAATGTAATAGATGTCTCTTTACCGACATCTGGTGAAAATTTCATGTCAACAGCACCTTTAGAAATATATTTACTGAGAAAAAATGGTGATGTGTTCAATACTTATTTTACCCGCTGTATATATATATGTGTGTGTGTGTGTGTGTGTACATTATTATTATTATTATCTATTATCTATTATTATTATTATTATTATTAATACATTACCAGTTTCAATAGAAGTTTCATTAAAGCATATTTTAATTTACCATAAATGTTTGCCACTACATTCTGCAATACAAAAAAAAATGTAATTTATTTATGAAAAATTACGAAATTATGTATAAAGGCGTATTTAAGTCCTACTTAAATGGCCTAAAAACTATATATATATATATATAACTTTCTTAATCTGCAGCATTTGGATTGTTTATATGTTTTTAATGATATGTTCAACTATGTATCCATATGTATCACACGACTGTTATAAAACTGCATTTTTGTGATAATTCAGTGTAATTACCATTAATAATGTTGCATATAAACCAGATAACACAAAACACTTAATATATGAATTATAACACTAACAAATAACAACTGTTTAATATTAACAGTATTTTGATTTTTTTTTTTTTTACTTGATAACAATGATTAATTTCTCTATTCCATAGCTATATCTTCCACTGATCTAGAGAAGAATATTTCTTAAATACCTAAATCCTGGATATCAATATATCATGGTTTCTTTCTCCTTTTCTCTACTAAACTGATAAACATAGGAGAAAAAAATATTACCTCGTATTGCTTTTAATCCCTGGATGGTTGAATATTGCTTCATTTTGAGTTGCCCAGAATTTTAGTCAACCCTTTATTCAGCCATGGACTTGTGAGCTCTAAGCCGGATCTGCTGAAGCGTTCAGGAAGCCCTTGGCATATTCTCAGCTCCGAGCAACACAAATATGTGCTAGTGCGAGTTTTCCCTCTGCTCCACTGGTGGCAGTTATGTACTGTAGGCCTATATCAAAGGAACACAACACAGACTCCTGGGAAATCTGGTCAAGCCCGTTTAAAACCACACCCCCAGTCACAGTTAGACATCTGTTTGACCGATGGAGGGTGATGCTTGTTAAACAGGAGAAGTGTGGGTGATGTGATTCAAAAAGGCATTGAAAGAGCACATGCGGTGACCTCTGCACCCGCTATTGTATATGAGACAACAATGAGCTCAGGAAACTTCTTAAATTATTATTGACAAAGCTGGCCTACACAGACGTGTCTATTCTTAGCACCCATATTCTGTTTCCTGATCATTTCCACTAACTGTGGCACATTCATCTGAATCATGGTTAGTAAAAATAAGAAGAATGTCATTGGTTTTGTTGTTTCATCATGTTATGGCAGAAGAGGGAGTATTAATATATGGGTGTGATAGTTTAACAAACCTGTTCTGGAAGTGTTGAAGGATAACGCTAGAAAGCGAACGGTGAGATAACTGTTATTTCTGTTAGATTTGATATAGCCTACTTATGCATTTAAACATAAATAGATGGTGATTAGGTTAATACAACTGGGATAGCAATGTTTTTCTGGTGACGAACAGTCAACAGAATGACTCGGCAGTCAGAAATCATATGTTACCTCTTCCCTGAACTCCAAACAGACACGACTGGCAACTTTCCCTCGGATTAATCCTTTCTTCAGCTTTGGTCTGGACTGAGCCTGACACTATATATCATCGGGGAAAGGCTGAATGATGTGAGGGGGGGAAACTGCAGACACATTTCAACACGTCTCAAAATCCTCCCACAAACACATAGCAAACACTGTCATAAGAAATATTAGAGGCTGATTTAATTTAAAGCTGATTTAAAGTTAATTCTCCATCACTTGTTGAATGATGAAAGTATACTGCACATAATATGAGTGATAAAGTTGATAAAGAGGACAAGCAAAACATGAGTCAGATACAACACAAACTAAAACATTATACAGAATTGAACACGTGTATCTCTGACAATAAACCACTTTATTTAGACCTGGACTGAATACGATATATGATTATTAAAACTGCTTTTATTTAGACCTTGACTGAATACGATATATGATTATTAAAACTGCTTTTATTTAGACCTTGACTGAATACGATATATGATTATTAAAACTGCTTAGAAATAGACCTTGACTGAATACGATATATGATTATTAAAACTGCTTTTATTTAGACCTTGACTGAATACGATATATTTAATCTTGATTGTTTCATTTTAATTCTATTCTGGTGGCACACAGAGCCAAAATTATGAAAATTGTGTTAGTGTCTAAATATATATGGACCTAATTGTATATTTTCAGACACTTAACCGCATGTTAATTGCAATTTAGTGAAAAAAGTTTACATTTATATTAACTGCAATTAGCTGAACTTTAGAGTGCTTTTTTGATCCCCTTAAGTTGATCTTTATATGTAATTTCATAACTACTTCCATTGTCTTTGAAATATGCTTATAGTTTACTGTCGAATGTACTGACAAGGATTTATGATAAACTAAAATATACTACTGATACATTTCTATTGACACTCGTATGTTAAGTATTTAAATATATTTTTACTTACACTTTTGTAATAATGAAGTTTCAATTTATTACATTTAAAATACATACACTTTAAATGTAATATTGACAAACACATGACAGTTAAAATAATTAGGTACTTAATATGTGCTTTAGTATGTTAGTCAACACATCAAAATAAGTGTACTTCTTTGAAGCATGACTAAAGTTTACAACATAAGGATTTAAAGTGTACTTTCAATGTCAAACGTTTAATTTGACTTAATTTCAGTTTTTAAAGGTGTACTTAAGTGTGTTAAGAAACAGGCGTGAAAGTGTGCTCTCTTTAAATACACTTAAGTTGGCTTTTTATTTCATTAATATTAATGATATTGTTTTTTAAAATATACTTTTAAGATTTGAACAACACTACAAGGGCATATTCTATACATTTAAGTGCACTTCTTTTTCACAAGAGTATATAAACAATTCTCTTAACAAGCTATATACCAGCAAAACACTGGTGAGACTGAGCAAACAGGTTTCTGCAGGTTTATATGATCATTTCCCCTAAAATACATTCTCATGAAATGTAAAGACATCTTGTAAAGCATGAAGAGACATACCGGCTCTAACTGGAAATACTCTCCATGCTGCTCACAGCCAATGTCAAACACATACTTCCCTGGACCAGAGGGCTACAAAATAACAATTACAAGAAATAAGAGATCACTGTGTGAGAGAAATGCAAGTGTCTTGTTATATTCAAGGCTGAAGTTAACATAGAACACATTAAAACAGTGGTTTTGTTTAGGATGCACAAATCTGAAAGTCAATTAGGTCTATTTATTCTGCTATTTGGACTATACAGTTAGTTGCATTTTATTATGAAATAGTAATGCTCAGAACCACAAATGTAGAGTGTTACTTACATTATTATTGACAAAGTTGCCCTGATATCTGTGGTTCAGATGGATCAGCTCCCCGGTGGACTCCATCTTTCCCATGACCCATGTGCCCATGTACTGAGACCCAGTTTCGTGATGTGTATATGTACCCTGCCCATGTCTAAGAGAGAAACACAGAGATACAGTAGATACTTAATAAGAATGTTTTGCCATTCATTTTTAGCTGAACTGAAGACGTTATGAATACTGTTGTAACTAATATCCATAGAGTAGACATATTAGATTACCAGATTAGATCAGTGAGAAAGAGAGTTAAAAAAAAACTACCTTTCATGGTGCAGCCATTCACCATCATATGTGTCTCCATTGGGGTATGTGTAAACACCCTGACCCTGCCGCTGGTCATCCACCCAGCTTCCTGTGGAGAAATATGATATGTGAAGATTGCATTTTATGCTATAAATCCTGGGGGAAAAAACTAAGACCACTATAACTATTATTTCTACTTGAATACAATATTTTTTAATTATAAATTATATTACCAGCATAATAATTAAAGTGAAAAATTGATATGAAAAATGTACATTAATTTCTAAACGCTTTTATGCATTTATAAATATATACTATTGTTCATTGTTAGAATAAATTGACTTACAAATAACTATTTAAATGATAATAAATGATAAATTATGTTCATTCACACAATTCGTAATGTAAAATATATATATGTAGAAATTAACATTAACATAAATAAGTAAAATCAATGTTATGTTAGTGTTACTTATACTGTTATAGTTTTTATTAATATTTTGAATTAGCTTTTACCTTTTCAATATTTCTTTCATATTTCTAAATAGTCTTAATTCATTCATTTTTTTATTTAATAGTTATTATTTCATTTATAGTTAGTAGTTTCAGTATTTCAAATTTTTCAAAGGTTTTTTTTTTTCTTTTTATGTTGTTAGTAGTATAGTATTGTATTTTATTTGAGCTATTATGTTATTTTGTTTTATTTTAGCTATATTTCATTAACAAAGATCTTTTTAATAGGTTTAGTTAAAGATAACAACTCTGTGTTAAGTTCGTTGTTCATTATAACTAATGCATTAACTAATGTTAACTAATTGAACCTAAATCAAATCTACCTATGTTGAGATAATATAACGTTAGATAATGATGACTCACCTTCATATTTGGAGCCATCTGGGTAATAAAATATACCCTGTCCATGTTTTAAATTCATGTACCATTCTCCAATGTATCTGGCCCCTTTCTTGAACTTATATGTCCCCTGATATACAGACAACAACAGGTTTATCGTATGTGTATGCTTATGAGAACAGAAACCGCATACACGGTCAAAGGCAACTGAGCAAAATGAAGCTAATGAGTGAGTTTGATGAGCAGAATGACCTGGCCACATCTCTTGCCGTTTTCATAAGCTCCTTGGTAAGTGTCTCCCTTCGGCAGGACAGCTTTGCCCTGTCCATGTCTCTCTCCAGCTTCATTTCTGTCTCCCTCATACTCCTGCAACACACGACTACTGTCATCTACTGTCACTTCAGCCTAACCAGCGTTACTGACGATAACTCACCCCCAGAGAGCCTTGCTCTTCGTCGAAGTCTTCAGAGCCAGCGTCTGACATGATGAGCTAGAGATTACTGAGCAGAGAAGAGGGAACAGCTTCAGTTCGACACTGTTTACCGTTACCATAGTAACGCTCAAACAGACACGCGACCAAGAACAACACTTTCTCATATAGCACTTTGTTATCCTACGTCCGAGTTCCATTCATACTACTCGCATTCATACTATATAGAACGTACTTTTTTAACGGTCGAGTAGTACGTTCAAATTCAAATGTAGTACCTACTAAGCAGAATGCGATTTCGGACAGCTGCTGTTTTTATTTATTTATTTATTTTTATGTTTATATGTTTATTTTATGTTCTTTTTGTTGTTGTTATCTGTTATACATACTTTGAGCTGTACGACACTACCTTATTTGCCTTGTACTTTCTGCATTGTACTATCTATTTGGAAATATGAAATACACATTAATGAAATTTCTATTGAAACGAAGTGAAAGGGAAAGTGTTCTGACACGTTAATATAAACGAAACAGAAAAACACATTTACTTTCACTGTATATCTCTCTCACTTATAGGTGGTTTGCACAGGACGTCACTGATGACGCGCGAAATGCAGCTGGAGGGCAGGGAGTGATTTGTCTCCATAGAAATCACTAGAAGAAACTCCAAATGCCTGTGTTTTGCGCTGTTTATGGATGCTCAAATCGGCCAAACCGAGAAACCACAAGGAGCTTTTATCGTGTACGAAAATGTGATGCTCATAAGTGGGGAAAATTCAAGAAATTGATTGAAAAACGCAGGAAAATGTGGTTTGTAAACCTGCGTCTGCGGTCGGGAGGAGTCGAGTCGGGCAATGCTCGTGTGTGCAAATGGTTATTATAGGATATAATAATATATTCAGATATTTATAAAGATATAAATAGATTGGGCTGCCACCTCTCAACGCACGCATTGTGACAGTCAGAATTCACTCGGTGCTAAACGCCACACGTAAGTTAGACACGATGTAAATAAGATATTATTTGCAGTTCAGAGAGCTTCACTGATTATAAAGGAACATCGTGAGGTTGCGATAAATTGAAGTGAGTGACAGCTTTTTAGTGATTATATGGAAGCGCTATTTGCTCGCTTTCTAGGCAGGCTAATCAATTCAGAATTTGAATAAAAGTTTTGTTTTAGGTGCTGCTAACAGGACCAACAGCCACATACCCTGTACATGCAGCAAAGTTTCAGGAGTGACTGAAAAAGAACGGATGAGATACAGGAAAGTCGGTAATGTAGGCTACTGTTTTAGGCATGATGCATTATGAGGGGATCTCTCTTCAACCACCACGCTATTACAAGAGAAAGGTATTGATAATCACAACATGTTGGACGTGATCCTTATGTTATAAAGAGGAGCGATGTTTAAACGAAATTGAAATTCTTGCCTGCCATTAAGGCGATGGATATAGGCTAAGCAACTAACCCTGATTGTAAACGAGCTATTTCTAAAGTGAATCCCGTATTTATATGAGGGATGCGGGATATATGTCACTCCTGAAACTGTGCTGCATGTACAGGGTAACTTATGTGGCTGTTTGGTCCTGTTAGCAGCACGTAAAACAACTTTTATTTACATTCTGAATCGATTATAGCCTGCCTAGAAAGCGAGCCAATAGCGCTTTCATCTAACGCTAATCACTAAAAGCTGTCACTCACTTCAATTTATATCATTTAAATTATAATTTATAGTAATAATAATTGTTATTATTGTTATTGTTTAGATATAATATTAATCATATCAGAGTTATGCTGGCTACTATTGTGTATTATAATTACGTGACTTTTATTTTGGCAGGATTGTAGCCCGTAACAAAAAAGCTCGTGACTGACCAGATGACTCCGTTTAGAGAGTCACGTGCCCAGTGTTCCCTAAACTCAGGGTGTGAGACAGAAACAATCATTTAGACAGCTGCAGGTCAGACAGCACTTAGTGTTTCTGCGGCCCTGTGCTGACATGAACTGTTTGGTTTACTTCATTCACGCGGCGCTGCACTGTTGCATTGTGGGATATGGACAGCAGGTCTGGCCAGAGCCTTACAAGTAAGTCGCAGGACCACAATCAAGTGTTCACACTCACTGTCAGCAGGGACTCGTGTGTGCATATTGTGTCGTTTTCAGTCGACTGTTTTCAAGTTACTTGTCACGATGGTTTATTGGTTTAATTTTTTTCAGTTAGTAGGCTATTCAAATATTCATATGAAAATTAATCCAACTATATGAATGTTTAACTAATGATTTACACGCATACACGAACTTATATTGCCAAAAGTATTGGGACACCTTCTAATGAACAGGTTTGACTACTTTAGTAATTTCCATGAGCACAAATCGTAATGTTTAAGCATATAATGATGTTCTAAGGAATTGTGTGCTTCTGATTGTATAGCAACAGTTTGAACAGGACCCTTTTCTCTTATATCACGAGTCAGGACAATGACCCCGTGTATAAGACAAGCTTCAAAAAGAAAAGATTGATTCAGTCAGTGAAGGTCTGCAGAAAGCCAAGTCCTAATCCCAGCTGAACACCTCTGGTGTGACTTTAAATGCAGACCTTGAGCCAAAACCTCATCATTTGCTATAAAATTAGAAGCACACAATTCCCTTGAATAGCATTACATGCTTAAACATTAAGATTTGTACTCATGGAAATGACTAAAGTAGTTCATTAGAAGGGGGTGTCCCGATACTTTTGGCAGTATCTCCAGTGAAAAACGACTTCACGGTTTTATTCTGATAAATGTTAATTTTGTTATATGCCATGCACCAACCCAGTGTCATATTAATTTCTAGGCGACTTGACAGGCGTCCAGATGTTGATCCCTACTGCCAGGCTTTATACCCATTCTGCCCGAGCGGGGATCCAGACGGCCGGATGCCCGTGATGAGAGACTCGGACATCATCTCGGTGTTCAGACTGCAGACTCCGGTGTGGGAGTTCAAATATGGAGACACGCTGGGAAAGTTTGTAAGTGAATAGCAGACCGCTGGCCTGAAAGAGTTTGCTCACTGGAGTCTAACCGAAGGTTTTGCACTGTTCAGCATGTCATGCATGATGCCGTTGGCTTTGGAAGCGCAAGAACGGGCAGAAACTTCACCTTGGAGTGGTACGAGCTGTTTCAGCTGGGGAACTGCACTTTTCCGCACGAGAGAGCGAGCGTGAGCGCACCTTTCTGGTGTAATCAGGGAGCCGCGTGCTGCTATGACGGCATCGATGACGTTCACTGGAAACAGAACGGCACTCTGGAGAAGATCGGAGAGATTTCAGGTAAGCCTGGCGTACACTCAGTTTAAGGACCAAACGATAATATTAGTTATAGTAATATGTATTATAATATTTATTTTTATTATTATTAAGCACACGCGCATGTCCATGTTGTATGGGTACATTCCATAGGCATGATGGTTTAATATACGGTAAAAACTGTATTTTATATCCCTTTACCCTAAACCTACCCCTCACACAAAACTTTCTGCATTTTTAGATTTTCAGAATAGATAGACATTCTGCGTGATTTACAGTAAAAGCTGTTTTCCTCATGAGGACCAAAAAATGTCCCCACGAGGACAAAAGGATTTCAGATATTGGAACATTTTGTCCCCATAATGAAGGGAATACTAGGACGAAATAATAATTTTATATACTATTATTATTCATGTATATTATTTCATGACCAAACAGTAGTATTTTAACAGTAACATTTTATTGTTTATTATATCATATACAATTTCTATTATTATTTAATTTGTGTAGTTATTTATATTTAATGTCAGGGGGAAAAAAAACAAATCAAAGTAAATCATTTTTAAAAAAATGTTCCAAATGTTTTTGCCCAAAAATAGAAATAAATTACAGAAAGAGTAGTAAAAGCATTAATTTAGGTCATTTTGTAAACGTAAACTCTTCTACTTCTACTTACCCTTCTATATTTAATATCTTTCACCTAAATGTATAAAACAATACTATAAGAAACATTCATGTCAGCTAGCTAGATAACATTACATTGGTGATGTTGACACACAAGCAGACTTTAAAACAGAATCTCTCGTGAACAACGACTTAAGAATGCTGGAGCAGCCTGAAGCTCTCAAACATGCCGCCCTGTGTTTTCGGTTTCATTACGATTTTATTTTTATTAGGCGAGATGTTCAATGAGATGGCTCGCTGGGTTCAGGAGGACAATGAAACGGGTGTTTATTACGAGACTTGGACAGTGAAGTCAGATCCTGGTGCAAACTCCACCACGTGGTTTGAGTCCTACGACTGTTCTCAGTTTGTGCACCGCACGTATAAGACGTTACTGCATATGGGTGCCGAACTGTCCAGCCAAGCGCCAACATATTACACCAAGATCTATCTGTACAGCGGAGAGCCGCTCTATTTGGGAGACAAATCCATCTTTCAACAGTCTTCCACGAAAGATCTCGCCACAGACATCAAGAAGTTCTACCACTCGTTCCGCTCTCACCAGTCAGTCGTAGAAATGATTGAGAGCTTATTAGAGGCTTTTGAAAAGATGGTCCTAGAGAAGACCTTCTACTTCTACTACAACTCTGAATATTGGAAGCTGCCGATGAAATATCCTTACATTAAAATAACCTATGAGGAGATTCCTTTACCATAACCACCATATTGTTTTAGCCTAAACTATATTAAAAAAAAAACTCAAATTATTTTTGCTACTAAATAAAATTACATTTTAAATGTTCTATTTCCATTCCAGATGATGTCAGATTTATCAGATAAAGTGTTAATAATTTATACTAATGCAAAAATCCTTTTTAATGTTGTATTGTTGTTGCTGTAATATTGCTGCCTTAATGTAAATGATCTGTAAAACAGCCACACAATTTTTCTCACAATGTTTATTCGCCCTTATTTCAATAAAAGACAATGTGCATGTTTTTACAACAACACACAAAAAAAAATGTGATGCTTTCATATTCGCAATACAAGCAATATGCTCACTTCAGAAAAAAAATCAAATACACAAGCACTGGGTTTGATGCTATTTGTACATTTTTCTCATTTTCTATGCTTTGGTTTACACTGAGTTGATGTAATGCGCGTCAGCTTGCACTTCCAAAAAGCTAGTCTAACAAAAAGCCTTTCGTGTCAAATTGGCAAGATATGCGCTGCTGACTAAAGCCGAGCTCGTGTATTTTAATTTGTATGTGAACTACAGGGCTGTGGCTTCCCTTTTCTGATAGTTTTCAGGAATATTTCACTTTCAAATGCTGGCAGGAATCTTAGTTTACTTCATTTAGTCGCTACAACAATTTGCAAAAGCTAAAACAGCTTTAATTCTGGATAACGGGTAAAAAAAAAAACGATTACATGCTATTGACTAATGATATAATATGCATATAAATCGACAAGGAGCTTCTCACTCAAAGCTTAACTATCAATATAAGCCGATTAATAATAATAAAAAGTATATCAATAAATTACACTGATCAAATCTAATTACAAGGCTACAAAGATCCATCAAGAGGAGTAATTCCCACTCGTCTGAAAGAGATCAGCACAGAAACACTTCAAACCTCCACAGAGAGTGCGCGAGAAATAAGTATTTCTATTTATATCAAACACACAGCATTTTATATACAGACACATGGGACTTCCTTTTTAAAGGAAAATGTTTTCACTGTTTCACTCCAATATTGAATCATATTGAACTGAAACGAAGGGGCTGCGTTGCGTGCATATCCAGACTAATTCATTCATTATATGGTTGTATCCCATTCAATTTGTCATTGCACAACATTCTTCATGCAATCTAATAGAAACCAATCAACGCTTCATTGTATCCCTAAGATGCTTTTACTATATTCTTCCAAATCTGAGGACACAAGTGTGCTGTGAGCCGAACACTGATCCTTTCGTTTCCTTCCTCTCTGACATACCTGAGACCTTGAAAATATGCTGTTTTATTATTCTGCGCCCTCTTCCCCGCTACACCAAAATATGAGCAACTAAACCACCAGAAAGAGAGATTTCAATGTGGTATATATAAGGTGCATATTATTCACTATACATCTTTGTACAAAAGCACTGCAATACCAAACCTGTTATATTACAAAAATGTTTGAATCACATTTCAATGCACACAGACTAAAGTAGTTTATTTAATACACGAGTTTCACAATTTGAGTTGAATTACTGAAATAAATGAACTTTTCCATGACATTCTAATTTATTGAAATGCACCTGTAGTTAATCATCTATCTACATAAACCAAAAGCCCAACCCTGATGGTTGTGCACTTCTTTTTATCTGTGTTGGTTGGTGAACACAGTGAGAGGCCACTAGTTGGCAAGGGACAACCACTCTCACTAGTGTTATGGCTTTTCATGCCACTAGGAGGAGCTGCTGAAGGTTCCTAGTGAGAACCTGCTACACAAAGTAGCCTTCTGATTGGTCAGAATAATCAAACCACGAGACGCTGGGATGGGCTCCAACATCCCTGTGGACAAGCATTTGGGAAAATGGATGGTTAGTTGCTTAAATGTTGAGCCACTGAAGACAGACACAGATACACAGCGGGACTAAGAAATAGTGACGCATCTGCTGAGAATGTCAACAAAGACAAAGAGCCTATTCATCTAAATGCATGAATAATGAATATCTGCATCTAAATAAAACAGCTTTCAGTTGCAGTTTCTTTTCTAGATGAAATTTCTCATTTTTGTCATGCAAAATAACCTGAAAATGTAACTTACACTATATACATGTTATTCCATGTACAGCAATCCTTGATTTAGTTTTATAAAGGAAATGTCCAGAGTGAAAAAAAATAGATAATTTAGTAAATTTTACAAAATATCCAGGGCTGCGTTTCCCAAAAGTATTGTAAGCATTCATTCATTCATCAACTTAGGCTTACGATGCTTTTGGGAAACGCAGCCCAGGTTATGTTACATCTCAAAAATCAATAATGCAAACTTATTTGTCACAAATAAGCTTAATTTTGTGATTTATATTGTAAAATATTTAGATCCTGGCAGTTTTTTAATATATAGATCATAGTGAATTATGTTGCACTTCCTTTATGCCGATTAAATAACAATAGAGCTGTAGCAATTACTTTATTGCAATAACGAGTATGTAATGGGATTAATAAGTCAAACAATAACTCAAAAATATGATATTGGAAAAAATGCTTAATTGTTATGGCAAAAATCTTAATGTTCCTTAAATGGGCTTCATCTCTTTTTAATGCAACATCTAATTTAATATAATTTTTTTTGTGTTTTAATAAGGTGAAATGCTATATTTTCTCATTAAATGGAGATTTGCCACAACATGCCATTAAAGAAATGGTAAATAAACGCTGTCATCATTTACTCACCCTCATGTCATTCTACAAACCTGTACGACTTTCTTCTGTGATGTGTGTGTGTGTGTGTGTGTGTGTCAATACAATGATGTTAATGGACACCAAAACTGATATCAACATTCTTCAAAATATCTTCTTTCATGTTCCACAGAAGAAGATCATACATGTTTGAAAGGACTCAAGGGTGAGTAAATGATGACAACATGTTCATTTCTGCGTGAACTATCCCTTTACAACAGTTCACACTCATTATAGCAGTGTGGGAATATACATCTCAAATCAAACCAACTGTGAAACTCACACAAAAAGCCATCGAGTCCATATTACCGAAGGCTTACAGGTGTCCCAGTCTGATTACTTTCTGTGGTCTTCTGAACACAACAGATGAACATTTCACCAGGTGGGCATCATATCTGGAAACCAGACGCGCCCGAGGTGCTTGGACACTTCCCAATGGATCTCATCCAGGCTGTATTTGTGGTCTGGGATGAGCACCTCCTCCATGATGGAGAGCTGAGAGAGACGGCGGCCACACATCTTCACGAACTCCACGAAAGCGCTGCAGGAGACCTCGCACTCGCCCAGTCCGATGGCCGACAGGTGCTGGCAGCGCTCTGCGATACGAATCAGCTCCTCGTCCAGCGGCCGCAGACCGTTGGCACACACCACCAGCTCCACCAGACGCGGACAGTTCATGCCCACGCGGCCCAGGACCTCTTTGCTGACCGAGCGGCCGAAGTAGAGGTGCGTAACGGGGATCTCGTCGCGGAAAAAGGGCCCGAACTCGTCCTCGTATAGGAAGAAGTACATGACCAGGCTGAATTTGGGCGAATGGCGCACCATGGCGTCCCAGCTGCTCTTCTTGATGGTGTGGAACTGCTGGCCGGGGTTCTCGCTCACCACGTCTATGCGCAGATGCTCGAGGTGCACGTGCTTCTCGGAGGACAGCGCCAGCAGCAGCTCGTCGCTCAATAAGTGATAGTTCAGAGCCAGCTCTCTCAGACCGTGACACTGATCAGCGACGCACAGAATACCTGCAACAACAGCAGACTGATGAGATTCACCTGCACTAGACAGTAGACACTACAAATAATATACAATCTGACTGACGTCCATGCACTCTAAAGCACAGCTGTTTGATCTAAATAAGTGTTAACATCTGACTAGGGCTGTCGAGTTTCCTCGATTCAATTAGAGTACTCTATTTAAAAAAAAATCATTGACATTTTTCCCGTGCCGAGTATAGGGATGGGCGATAGGGATGTAACGATTAACCGCGAGCCGGTTGAAATCGATTCAAATATGTGATGATTCAAATCGGTTGAGATTCCAAACAAATCGCGATTCAATTGGAGTAGGAGTTTATATGAATGTATCTCTGAGGGGAACTGATTGTCTTTCAAAAAGTTTACGTGGTATTTTCTTTTCATCTTGCCTCTGAACAATGCATATTAAATGCTTAGTGTTCATAAGTGCAGCTCTGCTTTGTTTACAGAGATAACCCAGGAAACACTGTATCATTGCTGTTCATAAGCGCCACCTGCTGGCAGAGAGTGAATCTGCGTCTCATTCAGCTCATCTGCTGTTTCGTTCAGATGTTTTATGTAGTATAGTTTCACAAAACTAAAGTCAGGCCATTATGTTTTTGCTTCAAATTTCGAAATTATACAGTCTAATTTAGATTTAAAAACTACTCATGCTGCATGTATGCTGCATCTTTGTTTGGATGATGATTAAAACGCAGTGGTTGCCTCTCATTTTAAATGGAAAGAGCACAGACAAAGCCTTAGTTTGTTTATATGAAGAGATTTATTTTGTGTAACTTGCTAATTTGATTTGGGGTTTGTTTTAAAATTTCAGTTTAGTTTTGTTATATTTCGATTTCACAAAGAAACATGCAGCAATAGCCCAATAAAAGAACACCTTATTTACTGTATAATGTCTTCAATCTCATTTTGTTAAAACAAATTTTTTGTGAGAAAATCGAATCGTGAGTTGAGTGAATCGTTTCATTCCTAATGGGCGATATCTTGTAATTTGCAATATACCGGTAAAAATTCTCCTCAAGATAAGAATTAAGTCTTCCCGCGATAATAACGATAAAGTCTAGTTGTTGACATATTTCTGTGTGCGACTGTGCGGAGCGACATGGCAGAGTTTATCGCTAAACGAGAAGCTCCTTCTACAATCTGGAACTGGTTTGGTTAGGGCTGTACAGTGCACAAAAAAATCGGTCTGAATAAATGTACTACAGTAGCATGTGTGCGATACAGTTTTGCCAGTTTACAAACCTGTTGTCCAACAAAGATATCATTTATTGACATGCTTTTTCTCCAAATTAAGTTAATAACATAGTTGAGTGTTTGAAATAACTTCTTTTTGATAAAAGCTATGTCGATTAGCATTGCATTATAAATATACTTTCCTTTTAAAAAATATCCAAGTTTGATTTAAGAACACAGATAAACCATATATTTTGTGCAATCGTATGTTTATTGTCTTCAAGTTTCATCAGTTAGAAGTTCTCTATCTGCGTTTTCTTCAGCTACAGCGATAACTGGATACCTTTGTCCATATTGGGGATTTCTCTGCTATGGATATGTGGAGTTTCTGCGCAAGGGTGCCCTCCGGCTTCCAGTATGAATTAAAGAGTCATCACATTACGTGTGTACTCAGTAATGCTCACAACACCCTATTTTGGGTAAAAACAGGAAAGAAAATAATTTTCCCTAAAGAAAAAGAATTCCCTGAATTATCATCATTGATATCGTTATCACAATAAATACCAGAAATTATTGTGATATATTTTTAAGCCCATATCGCCCATCCCTAGTCGAGTAACCGGCAAAATACCAGAAGTGGTGCATTCCATGGACGGGAATCCATGAAACGCATTATTAGATCATTTTTAAATCATTTAAAAATCATAACCATACCTTTAAACCTTACCTATAAACCAAACCTTTATGCACTTTTATTGGACTTCATAATCTCAACCCCCATTCACTGCCATTATAAAGCTCGGAAGACCCAGGACATTATTTAATGTAACTCGAAGAAAGTCATATACACCTAGGATGGCTTGAGGGTGAGTAAATCATAATTTTCATTTTTGGGTGAACTATCCATTTAATGTGAATAAACCTAATGGTGTTTGCTGTCAATGCTCCATATTTGTAGTCCATACAACCTTTGTAAACTATTTCAGATTCTGCAGTGGGGAGATTTTCGGTGAACAAGGAGTTAAATTGCTTTATTATTAAACTGCTTTGTTACTCTCTGTTTTGCATGAAATGGCTTAGAAAGACTTGGTACCTAAAGCACAAGTGATATGGATTACTTTCCATGTACTGTTTTGTCGATTTGAAACTTAATAGCACCCGTCCCCATTTACTTTCACCATATGGGGGAAAAAAAAAATGTTTCAACTTGAATTTTTGGCTTCCAATGGAGAGTGAAAGTCATGCAGGTTTGGAATCAAGTGAGAGTAAATGATCACAGAATTTCTATTTTGGGTGAACTATCCCTTTAAAACCACAGGGACTAATGAGAACAAACATCATGGAAAGTGTGTTGTTACTTTGTATTTTTTGTATATCTGCCATACACTAGCAGCTCATCGGGGCTTCAACAGATCATTTCACTGTATCTGTAGTACCATCAGTCCAATCAGAAAAGGGTGAAAATATTGGTGTGCACTTATTACAATAACTCCAGAAGTCTCTATGAGGAGCAGAAATGCGGTACTTTGTTTCTTTCCCCCATTGAGTTGGCCAGCCAGTCTTGTCAATAAGCTGTAAAACACACGTTATCATATTCTGCCTGTACACACCTTGTTTATTAGCAGCACATGACTAAGAACAAGTAACATGAGTGTGAACAACAAAAGTCACAGACAAATGACATTGTGAGACTTTTCAGAGGTCATAACTATAAACTGTTTAGGTCATTATATCCCAATGTGTGAATGGACAATATTTTGATTCTATTCTACTTCTACAATTTACACTGCCGTTCAAAAGTTGGGGTTAGTAGTTTATTTTTAAATGTTTTTGAAAGTTTGTTTATGCTCACCAAGGCTAAAATGAAACCGTTAAACTGTAATAATATTCCACAATATTAAATAACTATTTTCTACTTGAATATATTTTAAAATGTAATTTATTTCTGTAATGTAAAGCTGAATTTTCAGCATCATTACTCTGGTCTTCAGTGTCACATGATCCTTCAGAAATCATTCTAAAATGCTGATTTGCTGTTCAAGAAACATTCTGTATTATCAAGTGAACAAAATTTAAAAGAACCGCATTTATTAAAATTTTCTGTAATGTTATAAATGTCTCTGCCACTTTTGATCACCTTAATGCATAATTTCTGAATAAAAGTATTAACTCCTTAAAACAATACTGAACGATAGTCTAAGTAGTTTGTTTTACATTTGATTACTTGTGTATTTATTCTGAATGTTTACTTAAACACCAGTCACCACACAATTATTATTATTTTTTTGCTTATTAATCATTTGAATATGAGAAAATTTTACATTTACTTGAGAATATATACTAAACACTATATTCTAATTAAAATTATTAGTATGAATATTCATATTTAAAATAATTATTAATAATTACAATCAAATAATTAATTTTGTTAATTAAAATTACTAAAACCTTTTAAATAAAAGAATGTGCTCAAGCAACTGAATTTGGTGTCGAGTATATTTCCTGGACTGGCCAACATCCTAGAATCACAGTTCCCCAAATAGCATCATATTCCAGCGGCAGATGAGTAATTCATACCTGCAGGAGAAACATGTGGGCAGCTGCTCATCTTTAACAGCTTGAGTGTGTCACTGTTGTTGGCCACCAGGACCTTGAGCGAAGGATCATCTACTGGCGTGTCGTCAATTTTCAGAGACGAAAGAGACTTGGAGTTGACAAACACCACGGTTAGTGCTGAGATGAAGTGCGACTGAAGAGAGGAAACAATCAGACATCAGGAAACAAGCCGACCCATCATCCCAACGCACAGCTCAGCCATAATAACACACGTCCTGATACCTTCGGCAGCTCCATGAAGCTCGGCCGTGCAGTGGAGATCAGCCCCAGAGTCTTCAGAGAGCAGTTGACCAGCTGAGACAGGATGTTACACGCAGCCTCCGCTGACTCTGTACTGCTGTCCACCTGTGCACACAGATCACACGCGCTTTGCATCAGCTCCAGCAACTCAACTACTGATCAGACCAGCCATGCTCAGAGTTACTGTAAAATAGCCGTTATATGCACATCCACTGACTTTTAAAGCAAGTCTACATATCTATAATATTTAGTGCTGGGCAACGATTAATCGCATCCAAAGTACATAATATATGTGTGTGTACTGTGTATATTTATGTATATATATATATATATATATATATATTTACACGCACACATGCATGTATATATTTAAGAAATATATGTTATGTTTATATTAGTGCTGTCAAACGATTAATCGCATCCAAAATAAAAGTTTTTGTTTACATAATATACGTATGTGTATATACTGTGTATATTTATTATGTATATATATAAATACAAACACATGCATGTATATATTGAAGAAAAATGTTACGTTTATGATATAAATATATATACACGTAAATACATGCAAATATTTTCAAAAATATATGCTGTATGTGTGTCTTTATATATATATACATAATAAATATACACAGTACACACACAAATATTAGGTAAAAAAAACTTTTTGATGCGATTAATTGCGATTAATCGTTTGACAGCACTAGTTTATATATTAAATATATTTATATATAATATAAATTATATGAATATAAATATATGTAAATATTTTCAAAATGTATACTGTGTGCATTTATATATACATAATACATATACACAGTACAGACACACACTTATATTATGTAAATAAAAACTTATTTTGGATTTGGATTATGGTTTTTGAAATTGCAGAAAGCCTGGCATAAGCCCGGGTGACCAGGTTTGATGAAGTTTAAGGGGGTCTGAATACTTTCCGTACCCACTGTATCTGTATAATATTTTCTTTACGTGCACTTATAATGCAATGAAAATTTGTTAACACTTTAGTTTAGGGACCAATTCTCACAATTGACTAGTTGCTTATTAGCATGCCTATTATTAACATATTGGCTGTTTATTAGTACATATTCTGCATGAGCATATTCTACATCCCTAATCCTATCCAATACATAAACTTAACAATGAATACTAACTATTAATAAGCAGCAAATTAGGAGTTTATTGAGGCAAAAGTCATAGTTAATGGTTTGCTAATAGCAAGAATTGGACCTTAAAATAAAGTGTGACCGAAAAATCTGTCATCATTGACTCACCCTCATGACAAACCCAGATATTCGTTTATCTTTGAAACACAAATCAATTTCTAATGAAAGGCTAAGAGATTTCTGTCCCTCCATTGAAAGTCCATGCAACCAAATCTTTAAGACTTCAAAAAGTTTATAAAGACATTTAAGTAATCTATACCAAACCATGAAACGGTTTAATCCAAGTCATATTCATCCTTCATACCTAACAAGTATATCATATCTACCATATTCCGTTTACCATATTTGATGAGCTCTATGTATGTGCGTTGATCAGAGTTTATATGTAAATAAAAGCCTAAATTAAATCTGTTCGTCATATAAAGTTATTTTGTCTCTTCAGAAGATTCGGTTTAAATAACTTGATTCATACGGATTACTTTATGTACTTTTTGAAGCTTCAAAGTTTTGGTTGTGTGGACTTTCAAAAAAGGGATAGAATATCTCAGGTTTTATTAAAAATATTTTCATTTGTATTTTAAAGATAAACAAATGTCTTACAGGTTTGGAATGATTTGGTTATGTAAATATAAATTAATTGTCATTTTTGGGAGGGATAGTACACCTTCCCAAAACATAGTTGTTGTTTTTTTTACCCAAATCATGTTTTAAGCTTGTATGATTTTCTTTTTTTCTGTGGAACATAAAAGAAAATATATATGTGACCCTGGACCACATAACCAGTCATAAGTCATATATTTGTAGCAATATCCAACAATGCATTGTTATAGAATGACAAAATTATAGATTTTTCTTTTATGCCAAAAATCATTAGGATATTAAGTAAAGATCGTGTTCCATTAAGATATTTTGTAAATTTCCTACCGTAAATATATTAAAACTTAATATTTGATTAGTAATATGCATTGCAAAGAACTTCATTTGGACAACTTTAAAGGCAATTTTCTCAATATTTTGATTTTTTTGCACCCTCAGATTCCAGATTTTCAAATAGTTGTATCTCGGCCAAATATTGTCCTATCCTAACAAACCATACATCAATGGAATTCAGATTATTCAGATAATGTATAAATCTCAATTCCAAAAAAATGACCCTTATTACTGGTTTTGTGGTCCAGGGTCAAGAATCCTGGTAACCAAGTTTTGGTTCCCATTGCCATCCATCGGGAACCAAAACTGTTTGGTTACCAACATTCTTCCAAATATCTTAATGCTCTGCAGAAAAAAAGAAACTCATATAGGTTTGAAGCGACATGATTTGTGTCAGTAAATTTAGCCAGAAATGTAATTTTTGGGTGAACTATCCCTTTGAGGTCAGCCTGATTTGTGAGCTGTAATGTGGAGCCAGCTGGTAACCGTCCTGTTCCTCGTGAGCCTCTCACCTTGAAGCTGACGTACTGTAAATGATTGGAGTGCCTCTTTATGATTTGCTTTATTAGGTCAGGATGAGTGGCCTTCAGGTAAGAGCTGGCAGGCTGGTTGAGCTCAAACTCAAAGCACCTCCACAGCTCGGGCATGTGGAAGGCCTCATTCCAGCCGCGGCAGACCAGCGAGGCGAAGGCGCGATCGAGGAGAGGCAGGTACTGGAAGATGTGGAGCAGGATCTCCTGTGGCAGTCGAGCCCAGTTGGACAGCAGATCTCCAGGGTCTTCGGCGGGCTGTCTGACCCTCTTGCAGGAGTCCGCCGGCCCCTCGCAGGATGAGGGGCTGTCCTCGCGGTCTCTGCTCAACCTTTTCATTCTTGGGGGCCTGAGAGAGCTGTGAAGCAAAAGAAGTGAAGTATAAACAGGCCCAATGCAAACACACACTCACACACACACACACACAGTGGCAGATGCTAACATGCAGAGAAGCACGTTTGAACACGAGTTTATTTTACAGGTTTAGCTATATTTATTATGTTTAAATGGCTTTGAGCTTTCCTGGAAATAAGTTAAACTGCTTTAATGCAATTACAAACAAATTCCTATGTGTGACCCTGGAGCACAAAACCAGTCTTAAGTATCACGAGTATATTTGTAGCAATAGACAACAATGCATTGTACGGGTCAAAATGATAGATTCTTCTTTTATGCTAAAAACCATTAGGATATTAAGTAAAGATCATGTTCCATGAAGATATTTTGCAAATTACCCACCTACCTTTTTGATTAGTAATATGCATCGCTAAGAACTTCATTTGGACAACTTTAAAGGCGATTTTCGCAGTATTTTGATTTTTTTTGCACCCTCAGATTCCAGATTTTCAAATAGTTGTATCTCAGCCAAATATTGTCCTCCTATCCTAACAAACCATATATCAATGGAAAGCTTATTTATTCAGCTTTCAGATTATGTGTAAATCTCAATTCCAAAAAACAACGAGCCTTATGACTGGTTTTGTGGTCCAGGGTCACATTTAACTCAGGGTGTTCGAAGCAATTTTAAATCGCGTTAAACTCAGACTGACCAGCGATCAATGATTTCAATTATCATGAGCAACTGAACTGCCGTGAGATATTCTCCATGCATAAACACATCATTAATCCAATAAACACACTGCACACATGCATTTAGTCTCAGAGACAGTGATCAAGTTAGATTAAGCCAACAACATCCTTACGGCGTAATCCCAAATTACCTGTTTTGCGCGTTGCTCGTGTTATCTCCACTCAGCTCGCGCGCGAACTGTGAAAAATAAGCAAAATCCTGAAAACTCGTCTGAACGTCAACCAGGACCGGAAGCTGAACACATCCGAGCGGCGCAGAGCTCGCGCATTGGAGACGAGCGAGGGTGGATTTCTGTCGTTATGTGTTGTTTTCTCGGGAGTCTGGGTGCGCACGTCTCGCCGATATCGCTGGTTGACCTACTTCTTGCTGCGCTGAGGACCGCGGGAGACAGCAGCGTCCCCGCCTCCTCCTGCGCGGAAAATGGCGCTGTTGTTGTTGTTGTTGTTGTTGTTGAGAGTCAGGCGAGCGTGTGTGTGTGTGTGTCAGCGCGAGCAGCTTAGTTCGGGCGGCTGCCTGTTGTTCTGTGACTGGACTCTTCCTCCAGGGGGCGCTCACTCAGAAAGATCAACACTTCTTAGAACAGTATTCAGTTTTTTCTTATGATAGACATTTATGAGTAGACGCTTTTAATATGTGATTCTAATTCTTAGTTTGTGAGGGACATACTAATAGAAAGTCGTCCAAGCAGTCGCTAAAAACAAACCCTGTAGTGACAGACGACTGTGATTGGTCGAGCGGAGAAAGGTAGCACGCACCACGTGACAATAACAGCCGCATCCGTGACTCTGTAATACAACAAAGTTACTATTGTTGTTGTTGTGCTTTTAAATGCGCTGAAAGTGCGCCAGTTTACGTAAATGTGACCCTGAACCGCCACAAACCAAGTCATAAGGGTCAATCTAGGTATATATATCAAGGTATATATATATATAGAAAAAATTATAAAGAAAAAAAAACGTATTTAAGTTGTCCAAATGAAGTTCTTAGCAATATAACTAATCAAAAATTAATTTTTGATATATTTACGGTAGTAAATTTACAAAATATCTTCATGGAACATGATCTTTACTTAATATCCTAATGATTTTTGGAATAAAAGAAAAATCGATCATTTTGAGCCATACAATGTGTTGTTGTCTATTGCTACTTATGACTAGTTTTGTGCTCCAGGGCCACAAATGTGCATAGAATTCAGATAGCGTTATTGGCATGACAAAAACACATTTTGCATTGCCAAAGCATTCATAGGAATAGAGAACATATACAACAGAAAGTGTTGGAACAATACAGCAATTGAAATAACATTTGAACAAGTAATATTGAAAGAAGGACATTAGAACAATTAAAATATTATATGAACGTATATATGCACTCACATAAACATATGATTAGTAAAGATTGTGTAAGAAGTTTATTTAACTAATAAACTGAATAACTGAATTCAACATTATCAGTCATGTGTATTGGTTGGTTTGGTGTGAGTTAGCCATATATTTACTGGATTATAGTTGGCAGGCATAAATCTTGCAGCTATATTTGCACATACAGATTTTTCCAGCTGGGGTACAATTATTAAATTGGGGATATATTTTGGGATAGTAGTGGTTTTTGATGGTTTCGTATTTGGGGCATTTCGTGAGGAAGTGCAATCTCTCCCAGACTGCAGTATATACACTATTTTAAAACTTATTTGGTCGATAATGTCGGTGTTAGGTGTGCTGTCTGATTTTATGTATTTATTGCCAACTTTATACGTTTTAAGGCAGTTTGAAAATCATCTTACATTACATCTATTCAAAATACAGTGTTATTTGCATATAAATTCCAATTAAATTAATTATCCACCTTTTTCTTGTCGTAAAAATGGGTGCGGCCATTTGTAAATTCTGTGGGTCTGGCTTCCGGTCTCATCTGCGTCCAGCTATTTTTAGCTGTACAAACCCGTTCGTTTTGCTGCTTGATATTGCACATCGGTGTGTCTTATATTATTTTAATGTATTATCTAATTTATGAACACACTGGGTTGTAGTGCAAACAGTTTTACCGTTTACTGCACGTTTTTTACCTATAGCGGTTAATGATCCGGAAGTCTCACCCATAGGCTTACTTCAACGTTGAAGAAAAAGGTGGATATTTTATGCATAAACCATAGCCAAATTTAAATGCACCCAAATAAACCTAACATTTATATTGGTATTTCAGGAAATAAACGTATTGTATTAGAAACAACGTCCGGTTCGCCAAGCTCTGCCCATCTGAGGCTCTTAAAACTTGCTATCCGCTTTTTCTATCCGTCTTTTATATACGTTCATTTTAGAGCTTGCATGTTTCAGGAATGAATGAGAAACGAAAGAAAAGCACAGGACACTCCTTTTGTAATGTACCTTGCTGAACAGAGAACCCGGTTTATTATTACCATTCAGCTCCATCCACAGATAATAACACAAAGCAGATTGACAAGTTGCAATTTTTTTGTCTTTTACAGCAGTTGTTTATCACACCCCCAAACATTCCTTCCTATATGCCTCCAAAACAACCACTAAATAGCCACAATTTCTAATATATCTCTTGTTTTGCCTCACATTCCTTTGATTTGGTGTGGAGACTGGCCCCAAGGAGTCGTGTTCTCACAATACAAAAGCAGAACATACTCACCTTTGTTTTTAAAATGACAGAAAAAGGGGGTTTATACCACGTCATTGAGACAAGGGCAGACACCGCAGACAACAAGCCCCTCGATAACGATCTGACTACAGAAATGATACTGCACTTGCCGGGGAAAACACAACACTGTATCAAAATGTACAGTGGCTTTATTGACATACATTCCATATTGTTTACATCTGCGAGGAGGCACACCCAGTATTGCACTTCATTAAAAGTTCTGGCTCAAAACATAACCCAGAATATCAAACGAAACTGAAGTGTAGAGAGTAGCAACGTCGGGATACACACATGAAGGGTTACTGTCATTATATACAAGATTAGATCAATCGTACACTATTTTCCCCCAGCGTCACATTCTAAAGTCCTCTTGTAGCATTTGAATCTTTAGCCGTCAAACCATGATGCACTCCGAAGTGAAGGAATACTGTACAGGATTACGAAAACAAAGTCAGTTTACATACAACAATAGAATCTTAAATTTGTATTCGAGAAGCTGAAATCATGGCCCATCCACGTGGTCTCGGATCCCAAAATCCTCCATACATTGTTACCCTTCAGTGGTCAGGAGGGGTGCAACGTTTATAAAAGCCGCAGGGTTACAACGGCTGCATGCAAACACGTCACAACGTAATTTTTTAGTTCTTTTTTTCCATTCTTCTGCGTCTAAAGAGAGGGAGGATGCACCCTGGAGCACAGTGGCCCGTCACAGCCCCCTCAGAATGGGACGTCCGGTGTATCTGCTCTCGGGCTGCGCTGAAGAGGGAGTCGGCCGCCACAGGAGGGTGAATATATATATATATATATATAGAGAGAGAGGGCGATCATTACGGGACCCTGGCGTTTAGAAGGTATGGGCATTTCTACACACGCCGCAGCCCAGAGCGAACTCCTCTCCGGTGGGAGGATGGACCACATGCAGGGGACACTCGCTTCCTTCTAACTGTTTTCCTTTTGGTCCTGTGAGGGAAGAAAGAAATTGAAGTCAACATGTTGTTGGCTTAAGAAGTTTCAATAACAGCTTGTAATGGAACAAAGGCCTAATTCAACACGACGCGAGTTTCAGACAGACCAAAAATGGTGGTGGGACTTTTTTTTTTTTTTTTTAATTAAGCCTTTTTTAACTGTCCTTTTAGGTTGTTTTGAGAATGTTCTGTAGGCTACTGATAA